TTATTTTATTTTATTTTTTAAAAATATAAATAGTAATAATGTGAGTTGGGTATGAACTATAATAAAAAAAAATTTCACGTTGACACGTTTTAAATTTGTTTTTGCCATATCATCAAAAAAATTATAAAAAATGCCACATGAGCGAGTTAACAGCCAAAATTAACAGAAGAACTAACGGAATGCATTTTGTATAGTTGAGGGATCAAAAAAGTGCAAAATTTTGTTGAGGGATTAAAAATGTGCATTTTGTAAAGTTGAGGGACCAAATTTAGCATTTAACCAATAAAATATTATTGAGCTTGATTGCTAGTTTCAACAACATAAATCTAGAAGCATGCACCAACTTAGATAGGTAGTGACAACAACAATTTCATACTTAATTTAATAATAACCTTAATCCTATTAATTAAGTAGATTTTACTCACTTACAAAATATACATTGATCACTGATAATTACATTTTGTAAACTTATGCATGCTATCGTATTTGTAACCCTTAATATATTTTTATTTTTATTCTTTATTTTTCATTTTTTTTTCTTTTACTACAAATTTAGTGCCAATCACTTAAATTGATTATTGTAATTTCGTTTTAGTAAAAATAAAATATTAAAATTACATGACATCATGGGCAGAGCTAGCGGGTCAGAGAGGCATAGGCCCACCAAACTTTTGAAATGTTATTATATTAGTACTTTAATTTTTAGTTAAATTTATTTTGATCCTCAACTTCTTCTTTTTTATTTTCAATACCTAACTTTTATTTTTATATTTTTTTAAATATTTTATTTCATATAATTTATTTCTTCTCTTTTATTCATCATATACTACTTTTATAATGTTGAGAAAGATGATAAATAAGAAAAATAAAATTTAATTGAATGATAATCTATAAATTGTTACTTTGTTTGTTTTTTGTTTCTACAATAAAAAAGGAAAGCGTGGTGATTCTCAAGAGATGGATATTTCTTATTTATTAAAGATTGTATTTTCTTATAAAGAATATTTCTTATCTATTAAAGATTATATTTTTTTATAAAGACCTTTGATTGGGATTTAAGCTTTATAACCATCCTCTTTTTGTAGTTGGTTATCCTTAAGAACAAAGAATTAATTGAATCCTTATAGATGATGAATTGGCAATGAAAATACTTCCCATCAAGACAATGAAGGACTTGAAGATTTCAAAAGGGAGAACTTTTTCAAAGTCGATTAATGATTAAATGCTTTAACTTAGGTGGACAAAGAGCTATTGTAAAAATAAAATAAAATTTGCTTATTAATAAGATGGAATCAAGTGCATTATTTCATGTTATTGATGCAAAAATAATTTATAATATACTCTTAAAACAACTATGGATGCATAAGAATGACGTTGTTTCATCTACAATTCACCAATGTTTCAAATATTAGAGAAATGGTTGACTTGGAATAGTTATTACAAATCTCAATCATTTTCCATAGTTGAATCTCATTTTGCAAATATTAAGTTTCATCTTGAAGTTGTAGAAAAGAATGCTTAAGAAGCCACACTTCAAACTTCAAATGAAGTAAATCAAAAGCAGGAAAGACAGCAAGTGGCATAAAAAGAAAAACAAGTTACTTTGGAAGTGAAAAATGAAAAAATAAAAAGGAAAAGAAAAGGATGAACACAAAGTCAAACCAGTTCAATCAAGCTCTATTTTTTTGTCATGTGCTTACGTCAAAGAGGAAAGGACATTCTATATTTACTCTGGGGCTAGATGAGCTAGTTAAAGATTTGAAGGGTTTGAATCTCCTTGTCACTACTCTTGTGGTGTTAAAGGTCATTAAGTCTCCAAATAAAGAATTAAATAAGTTGAGATAGCACTCTTCAATCAAGCAAATACATTTGTTTGTAGAGTGAATTGATGGTTTTGACCCTGATATCCATAACTTATTGGCAAAATCAAGTTATGAACAAGATATCCCCATGAAGAAAAATGCATATTATATATATCATCATCGTTAAAACTTAATATATATTTTTTGAATCTCAAGATAAACATACTTTTTGAATGGACCTTCATTCTTGCTTATGCATTAAAAATATAATGATGAGAAAAACACTAAACCCACAAGAGTTGTGATTAATTAAGTACAAAAAAATAATTAATCCTATATTTATTTGAATGATGGAAAAGGAATAAATTTTAATTAAAAATAATAAAAGAAAATAACAATTAAAATAAAGATAAGTTTTTCTAACTTTACTATTAAGGTAAAGGTTAAGAACGTAATTAATATATCTTTTTATAATTAATTCTCATTAAAAGTGTAAATGTTTATTTTGGTTTAATAAATTAATTAATTAAAATCAACTAAATGTCCGTGACGTTAAAATAAATGTTAATTTTTATAATTTTGTATGTCAATTAATTATAAAAAAATATATTTATTACACCTTAATCTATGTCTTTAGGATACAAATTAGACAAATTCAATAAATATAACTAAGATATGAGGTACTAAAATATTCGATTTCAACAGTCAATTAATATAAATTCTAGATTAATATGCTTTCAAAATTAATTTATTGAATATTATTGTATATGATGATAGGTTTTCCTAAATTAATTAATTAGCTTTCTTAAATCCAATTACTCCTTTATCTGTTTATTAAATTTTTTATATTTTAATGTAATTTAAAATAAAACAATAAGTATTAAATGATGTAAAAACCTCAAACTTAAGAAGGAGAAGCTTATAATTCTTTTCTCTTCCTCTACTATCATATGTGACATTAATTACCTCTTATTCTTACAGTTTAACACATGGTTTATGTTGTTATTGCTCTAATTTATGTAATTATTTTTAAAGTTCACGCAGAAATCACATGGCAAAAGGTACTTGTTTGCCCTTAAAGATTTTGAATTTGAGGCGTTTTACCCCTCATATTTCAATATATGAATTTTTACCCTTCGTGATTTTTAATTTGAGGAAATAAAGCAAAATTTAACGTCAAACGATCACATGCTATACGTGCATCGTTGTTTTTGTTATAAATTTATATGTCAACACCAACTTGGATATCTTTTAACATGTCAGCAAATCCACCTTGGATTCTTTCCAACAAATTTTTATTTTTTTGTTCCTCCCTTTCCTCTTTTCCTTTCACTTTCTTCAACTTATGCAAATCCAAACATCTCAACTAATCTCTACCCTTGTGGCTTCATCATCATTATCAAATAACAAAACTCACAAACAAAACAAAAAAAAAGAAAGTTTTTAATTTTCTGCCACTGGGTTCGAAGGAACCCAAGGCTTGGGTTCCTTTGAATCCCAGCGCCTGGGCTCCTTCGAACCCAGGCCCTGGGATTCCAAGGAAGCAGAAAGAAAGACAGGCAATTGAAAAAAAAAAAAAAAGAAAAAAAGAAAAAGAAAAATCCAGACCACAAACCATAGCAAGATTAAAACATAATATAAATCAACAACATCAAATCAAGCCAAAAACACCAACCATCCTTCTCTCATGAGTTTTCGATTCAATAACAAACACGAAACCCATATAAAACTCACTGTACACAAGAGCAAGATTTGTTAAAAACCCAAATAGAATATACTGAAGCACAAGAATCTTGAAAGGAAAGGGGG